GCTCCCGAATTTGCATGGAAAAGTAAGATGTGACAGTCCAGGCGTAACCGTTTCGGTTACATGCGCAATCTTTGAGATACTATTCAGATGCAGCTTTGACAGCTGCTAGTTTCAGCTACATCAGGACAAACAATCTCGGCAACCGAAGAAACATCTCATATCAATTTCAAGGTTTAGGAAATCAACTTAAATACTCCCAGATGGCCGTGAAAGAATTGGTGATCTTGATAGAGACAAGCAATTCAGCCTATTGCGCCGGCTCCTTCTTACCATCTTTAAGACGACGCTTTCAAAATATACCTGCTTCGACATCTCAATAACTATTTCATCAAGATGGGTTCAGAACAAAAGTCCGTCCTTCTTCAACTCGCACAGAGTGTCCTTCAAACCACCTCAACTATCGTGCGTCAACTGCAAGATACCAACCAGGAAGAACCTTCATTTGACCAGAACAGTCCCTCCATCCAGAGCGACGCCGACTATGAGGCCAACAGAATTCAGCTAAACGAAGCAGCAACCAACCTCTTACGTCTAGTTAATGGTCCTGTAAATGAATTCCGAAGGATCCACTTGATTATTTATGATATCGCAGCTTACCAAGCTGCTCTGGAACTCCAATTCTTCAGATATGTACCTTTGGATGGGAAGATCAGTCTTTCTGACCTAGCCCAAAAAGTTGGAATGGATGAAGATCGATGTGGTAGAATCATCAGGCTTCTCGCAGCGCACCATATCTTCAATGAGGTTGAGACGGACGTGTTTGAACATATAGCAGGTTCTGCTCTGATTGCAAGGGATACCGACATGGAGGCTATGCTTCTGATGCAGTATGATGAACTCCACAACGCATCCACTGCTACGTCGACTTGCATCAAGGAGGCTCCTTTTGTGTCGGATGGCACTTCATATCCTTTCCAAACATTTTACGGCAAGTCGACGTATGCCTGGTATGCTGAAAATCCGGACAAAGCAGGGCGTTTCGCCAAGGCCATGGCCGCCCTCACTCAGATGGACCGATCCATCGCGATGCTTTGCGATGATTTCCCCTGGGGTAAGCTTGGAGCTCCGGGAAAGGTTGTTGATATGGGCGGTGGAAGCGGACATGTGTCTATGCATCTCGCGTCTCACTTTGACAACCTCGAATTTGTGGTCCAAGATTCGAACACTTCGGCGCTCGCTGAAGGAAAGGCGAAAGTGGGATCTGATATCGCCCCAAGAGTCACCTTCATGCATCACGACTTCTTTGGCGAGCAGACCATCACAGATGCAAATGCATTTTTCTTACGCCAATGTCTGCACAATTGGAACTATGGCGATTGCATCAAGGTGATTCGAGCTCTGGTCCCAGCACTTGAAAAATGCAAACCAGGAACTCGCATCCTGATTAACGAGATCATTCTGCCGGAGAGAAACGAGATGCCCAAATTTGAGGAATACTTATCTCGACAGGTTGATATGTGCATGTTTGTCGTTGCTGGTGCCAAGGAGAGATCTAGAAAGCAGTTTGAGAAAATTCTCAAAGAAGCGGATTCCCGACTTGAAGTAGTCAAAGTCCATGGTACTCGCACTATGGGCCTTCTGGAGGTTTGCTTGAGGGGCTAGAGCTGAACCTCACTCAGAGGTGGATAGGGGACATTTCGGCCAAGAGGGACTACACGAACTGACACAATCATTTATTCCGCAGTAAGAAGAACATAAGGATTCCTATTGGTTTGTGGGAACAAGAACAACAATCGTTTAGCAGCAGATTTATCTAGAATTCGTGTCATAAGTACACAATGGCTACGTTTTCGCTGAGTATTCTAGAATACCAGATTCTCCTTATCGATTCCATAGAGTCCAAGGCCACTTTCAAATGCTGCTTCTCTATCGTCGGCTCCACTGGCATTCTCTTCGCCAAGTATCCTGTCACGACTCTGCAGTAGCTCAAGTGCGATGTCACGCCATCCAATCTCAGACTTATCAAGTTTCAGCTCAGGCAACAGTTCAAGGTCAAGCTCGGTTTTTAGCAATTGGCCATCTCGCTTCTTGAACTGACCATCAACGATGACCGCATCAATATCAGAAGGGGAGGAATGCAGAATGATGGCTCCAATGGGGTTTTCTTCAGCGGCACAAATCATACCGGGACTCCGCATATCCCAGATGAGAAGGTCAGCAATCTTGCCTTCTTCCAGAGACCCAAGCTGATCCGCCATGTTGATTGCTTTTGCGCCACCGATCGTTCCCAGCTGAAATGCTTCTTGAATCGACAACTGTATCTTGCCAGGAAATTTTCCCATGTTATGAATACGCTCGTTGCGCCGGCCACGCTCAGCTTGGAGTGCGACACGCATCTGCTGGACAATGCTGCCCGAACCGTTGCTGTGACAATCAATACCCAGCGAGCTTATTGACTTGGCATTCTCTTGGAAGCAAATCGGCCAGCCAAGGCCCGTCTGAAGCTCGGTGTCAGGGGTGGAGGAGATTGCTGCTCCAGCCTTTGCGATCTTCTGTGCGTCTGAGTCGTTCAGAGGATTCACGTGGGATAGTAGAATATTTTCGTCCAGGAGTCCGTAGCTTTCGAGCAAATCTACGATCGGCTCATCTAAGTTGCACTGCAATCAGTTTCCTTTCGAAATACTCGGTCTTGTTTGTCTTACTTTGGATGCTGGGGGCGTAGTGAGAAGTAATTGTCCTAATACCCAGGCTGCGAACTCGCTTGAATATGTCGACAATTACCTCTTTTGGAAGAGTGTAAAAGTCGAATGCAAAGCCCATGGTTACACGACCTTTGCCAAAGGGTCCAGCCTTGCATAAATTGGCCAATTGCTCGAAAAGCCAGTCTGGAAGGAGAATTTTCTCCATTTCGAATGGTTTCCAGGTCTTGATCCTTGCGGTGGGACAGTAACAATAGATCGATCTTATGCCCGATGAGATTGTTCCTGAAAGAGCAGCGCTATCTATATAACATGTCAGCAAACTAGAGGTTTATCGATATACATCGCAGTAGACAAGTCATACTATGTTCAGGAGAGTAGGAAATATGGGCATGATCAACAATCGTGGTTGTCCCAGCCTGGAGAGCCTCAAGGCATCCTCCAAGTTGACCCCAGAATACGTCTTCCGGCTTATAACTGTGCGATACCATGTTGCCTGAAACACAACTAGTTAACAACGCCGATTCTCTTAGTGAACCCGTGTAACATACCGGAAGTCATATACTCGAAAAGTGTGTGGTCTGAGTGTCTTCCTTTCAATTGAGTCTGCCACACATGATGATGTGTGTCGATGAAGCCTGGGGAGATGAGTTTCGATGTACAGTCAATCACTTCAGTGGAAGCAGAAGGCGGGTCAATCTTTGCAGCGATACGAACAATTATGTTCCCCTCGATCAATAGCGAGTGATTTCTTATAGGTACGATACGATCATCTCCAAGGCTTTCAGGGACAAGAAGGGTCGCATTCTGCAGCAGGATTGAATGAGTCGAAGTCATGACGGGATACTGGCTGTTAATTCACCCAGTGTAAAGTGTAGTTGGAAAGCCTCAAGGTCAATTGGGAGTCAGGAAGGTGTCAAAGGCTTGTTATATATGAGAATGGTTTCATAACACAGCGAGAAGTATCAGGTCATTCCTAGACGAAACATTAACAGCGTTGGCCAACAATAGACCACCACGTAGTTTTCTTGTGGGGAAATAAACAAAAGCATGCATTTGAACAAGCATGGAAGTGCATTTTCTGTTGACATCATAACTACGGCTGGTGGTTTTCTCGCGGTGATAATGCGATTATCACCGAGGACCGAATCTATCGTTGCATGGAGCAGTCTGTGTTATGGACATAAGGGAGTTAAGAGCCTGACCCACGTCGGGGTATAGCCGTTTCTGTCAGCGTACATTGACTTCTGATCCTGGTTCATTTCAGGAAGATAGTGCTATTCATTCTCCATGCCTTCTCAATTATAATCATGTGTTTCCATTGATCCTCCATCTACTCAACCGACGTCGCGAAGATAGTATGATGAGTATTCCTGATTGCTATTGCATCCCAAGTTTTGCCAATATCGGAATTGGTCAGAAGTAACTGATTATTTCACTTTCCCTAAGGGGATCTAATTGTTATACATTAGTTGTAAGAAAATCGAGATTATTCTTCTATAATTTAAAAAAATCTTTTTTTTTCTTTTTTTTTTCAATTTCTAATTACATAAAATTTAGTTTTTTTTAAATTTCATAGTAGTATCCATAATAAGAACAGTCTCTTTTAGGGTTAAAACTTAATATAATTTAAATAGTAAAAGTTGTATATAATACTTGAACTCTAATTACATAAACATACATATTATACACCCATATGCATAAAAGCTTGCTTTTGCTCCCATACCCCTCAACCTGTTCCGAACCATAAGCACACTGGTCAATCAACCCTTGGATGACTCTCTATATGAGGCCATTGATCATCAAACTCTACTGCAGAACTCCAGGTTCAGAGCTGTTTTAGATCGGAACAGCTTCTTAGAATGAATATGCAAATAACAATAAACTACAAGACTGGAACATCGGGTAGGATGTCAATTAATGCCACGTCTTGCACCTCACGAAATATATCAGATCAGTACTAAAACTGATGAAAAATGCCGAGTGTTGTCGACATCTAAGTTAGGCAAGTCGTAATGAGGTACTTTCACAACGCAAGAATATCATCAAAAGTACGGTCGCTGACTAATATCCAAATTCCGCTGTGGTGTATCGGTTATCATTCCGCGTTTTCACCGCGGCGAGGAGGGTTCGACTCCCTCCAGCGGAGTTTCTTTTGCTTTTTGTGCTACATGAGTTGTTTTATCGTTCTCTTGGTTGAAGAGACAGTTGGTCTACCGGACTAAGTGTCTTTCTAGTTCTAGCATTGCAGCATAAGCCCCCAACGCCGCGCTTTCAATGAAAACATCGTTTGACAAGACCGAACACCTATTTTTCGTCAAAAAGAAGATATCGCAATTACGAATAGCAAAAGAATAACCATGGAGACATAGGGATTCGAACCCTAGACCTTTCGCACATTGAAGCTCGAAGCTCTATGCAAAGCGAATGTGATACCCCTACACCATATCCCCTGCTGTGAAAAGGTCATCAATACTAGATCTATATAGGTGAACTGAGTATTGAAGGGCGTTTTTCTTCACAGGATCGCCGTCGTATCTGTATAGCAATCAGGTACTGTTTCTCCCATCGACCTGAAGTGATGGCGTTTGCTCTTTATAGTCTTTGTGAACTATTCTACCCTGATTTCCGTTATACCTCAACAATCTCGCTGTAGAGCCTGGTAAGGCGGGGAGAATAGCATTCAATATTCCTTCATAATGATCAAATTCCCTTATACAAAACAGTATAATCCAATACTCTGTCAGAAAGCGCATGCTAAATGCCCCAGGGTATCTTGTGTTGACGATGGCACTCCCTTGTAAGCAAGTATGGGAACATATAGGAAGATAAGGTTTTCGGAACACATTCTCTTCAGATTTGGAACACAAGAAAAATCTTTTTCGGAGATGTTACGCGAGATCCATTTCAGGTTGCCGCCATGAATGAGTACACTAGCGAGACAAAACCTCTAAAGTCTATGTTTGGAGTTGGTCTAGCCATCGGTGCACTTACCAATGCATTGTGCTCTACCCTCCTCTACGCTTTCACTGAGGCAATGGCGATTAACACTCCTGCATTTAGTCTTTGGATGAACGGTGACAACGAAGGACAGTTTATCTAAGGTGGAGTGAACGAAGCCAAGACCTTTTAATCACCTTTCCTATTGCCGTCGATAGAGACAGGGTTTGATCTTATATCTACCAAAGTTAGAAAGATTATTACACAAATAGTCATATTGCATATTCATTCCGTGCTGTTGAGTTCTCCCAGGACATCCTTCTTCTGTGAAGCGTAAACGTACTAGCCATAGAGAAAACGACATTCTTAGTGGAGAGCTGAGGTCCCGACCAACTTCAGAAGCGCAATTATGCATTGTTTGCTACGGCGTGTAAGATGCAAAGATGAAAAAGAAAGAGGAAAAGAATGCCTCACTTAAGCAAGTGGAGGCAAAAGATGTGATCACGCTGGGGATCGAACCCAGAATCTTCTGATTCGTAGTCAGACGCCTTGCCATTGGGCCACGCGACCGTTGTAGTCGATGAAGAAATGTTTTGCTCAGTTGACTTCAACATTGCCACGAAGTTGGAGAGTCGCGATCATATCGAACGTTGGTGGTGGTTGTCAACTTCTACATCAAACTCAATACTTGGCTTCTGAAATACTGTAGAAAAGTTCAATGCTACAGATGACTATCTGTTACTAACATTAGTTTTTCCGACCAGATCTCTCAAAATTTAGTAATGAGCGAAAGGAAAGACGAGGTTCAGCATAACGTGGGCAGTCAAACCGAGACGAAGGATTTCAGGTAAGAATCAAACGCATGACTAATATGGACCCTTCTGAGTTGCACCGGTCATCACAAGTCAACGTGGAGTCCATCGATAAGTGTAAATCTTACAAATCTAGTCCGAGCTCAGTTCCACATCTTACAAGGCCCACTAGCCCGAATGAACTCATAACGTTGGTCCTTTGTAATATCACCACTTGATCGTGTTAATTATCGAGAGCTTGACCGATCCCATACCAAAACTGCTCACATTTAAAAGATCTGAAAGCTAATTAGATGTCTATTTAATGCCGAGTGTCTCCCGAAGTTGGGAGATCACGCAATATTTATCCCACATTTTATCATCCTCGCCCAGAACTCCTTCAACATGTCGTGGGAAACCATTGCGAAAGAATGTCGAGTAAAAGTCTTGCAGGCGATTCCCGACCGGTGGCGCTTAAATGTCGACGATTACAAGTCACTTAAGGATGTGACTGGCGTGCCGTACACATGTGGTCTGCTCACAGAGGCACAGCTCAAGATCACGGAATTTACTGCCACAGAGATCGTTCAGCAGCTTCAAACTCAGAAGCTTTCAGCGGTGCAAATTTTGGAGGCTTTCGCTGGGCGTGCTGCTATCGCGCATCAACTGGTTTGTTTCCCGTCTTGAATGACGAATCTGTGCTCACATGACAAAGGTCAATTGTCTGACGGAGTGGTTTTATGATGAAGCCCTTGAACAGGCCAAGAAACTTGACGAGGCCCTCCAAAGAGAGGGCCGAGTCCAGGGCCTCTTGCATGGAGTTCCTCTGGGTCTGAAGGTAAAGCAGTTCAATAGTCTATTTATCACCAAGCTCATATTATACTCTACAGGATATCCACAGAATCAAAGGCCACGCTACCACAATGGCCTTTGTGGCGGGAAGAAACAACATCGCCCAAGAAGACTCTGCCGTCGTGGCAGCTCTACGCGATGCAGGTGCTATATTCTTCTGCAAGACCACAATGCCTCAGTCAGCCATGGCCATCGAGACTGTCAGCAATCTTTGGGGGCGTACTTTAAACCCATTGAACCGAGAACTCAACGCAGGAGGCAGTTCTGGAGGCGATGGCGTACTCGTGGCTATGCGAGGCTGCCCTCTGTCCCCATCCACTGATATAGGTGGCTCCATCCGTGTCCCAGCTACTTTCAACGGACTTTATGCGCTGAAGCCAACAGCTGCACGGATACCAAAAGGTGGAATGCCGGATCTTGGTCAGAGTCTGATTCAGGTATCTTTTGGGCCGATATGTCGCTCGATCGAGGATATGGAGTTACTTGCGAGAGTCATTAACGCGCATCCTTTCAATAAGTACGATGTAACCTGTACGCCGGTTCCATGGAAGGACCCCAAAGCGCTGAAAGAGAAGCTGAGAATTGGTCTACTGAAGTGGGATGGTGTCGTGATGCCCCATCCTCCGGTCCTTAGAGCGCTGGAGCATACCAGGCATGTTCTTGAGACAGCTGGACATGAAGGTATGTTAAGGTCAATTAATTCTCTTGAGAAAAGCTAATCTGTCCAAAGTAATCGACTTTGAACCACCTTTCGATTGCTGGCAGTCCTTGAAAACAACAGTAAGCTTTCACGTCAGAGAGTTTTGAGTTAAACTCACAGAGACCACAGTTTGGCATTTATTACCAAGGCGGAGCTGACCAAACGCTGGCTGCACTTCAAGAATCGGGTGAACCACTCATTCCAGCAATTTCTGATTTGATGCGGGTCTTCAATGTTCGACAGCTTCCCACTGTAGAGCTACTCGAGGTATGATCCTCATCCGAGCTTGACTCCATTTTATTTAACATTATTGCAGTTGCATGGCAAGGTACGGGCCTACAAAGACCAATTTCTTGCGGCTTGGAACGAGACTGCCGTCAACAGCCGGCCCATAGACGCATTGATCTGTCCTCCAGCGCCTGGTGTTGGTTACCCTCACGACTTCAACACTTACTGGGGATACACCGCATTGTTTAATCTTGTTGACTACCCTTCCGTGATCCTTCCGATCAAGGGCTTCAACGTCACTCCTGAGCTGGACCCGGTCGATGCCAACTATCAACCTTCAGATACGAATCCTTACGATAGGGCCAATCACGAGATCTGTAGGTGGATCAGAGGATCTTTGGTGAACTTTGCTAACAAAAGTTTCTGAACAGATGACCCAAGCCTGTTCTCCAATACTCCTTCTACTATACAAATTGTTGGACGTCCCTTTGAAGACGAGGATCTCATTCAACTAGTCTCAGTCGTAGATGTGCTACTTCGAACACCCTAGGATGAATCAGTGTATCGTGTTATTAGTAATTGGACATCAAACAGGTTTAGTCAAAATAGCATGAGCAACGCATAGTTAGTTTTGACCTGTCTAGAAATTCAGATGCATAGTCCCCATGAGACCGAAATGCCGTGGTATTCTTCGAAAGGTTTAGCGAGTTGTAAAGATTCTGATTTCGGAGATTGTGCTTTTCCAGGTAGGTGGTTAAACCCCCCTGTCGATATCCAGATCACTATACCTACAGTACAGCCAACATACAGACTTTCCATAATTTGAAGCCAAACCTAGTCACATGGATAAAAATTCCCCCATCATATGTCAACCTCAAGAAATTGGTTGAGTCGATTTATGATTTATTGTTCGCATAAACCATTCGCTCTACCTGTCATCACAACGCCAAGCAAAGATTCAAATGCTGACCCTTGTAGACAAACATAAAGCTTATGCATCCCACTAGGTCGTTTAATTGGCTCAACTACGTTACTCGCATTGCTGATCTGCAACGGGAATCAGTGCTCCGTCCCCCGTGCTTATATCGTGAGGGGCATGTCGGTGGTTGAGTGACACATTCCCAGACCGCTGTTCGGCAGATGACCTTGTATACCCACTGCTCCCGAAATCTTGAATCCTTCTCTTTTCTTTTGTCTGGCCTCGTCTTTATCTACAATGCGCCACAGCTTCTTTTCGCTGCTGCTTCTGGGCAGTAGCTGCATTGCCGCAACACCCGAGAAGGCTGACTGCAAATGTTTTCCTGGGGACCCTTGCTGGCCTACTGAGTCTGAATGGGGCCGTCTTAACAGTACCGTTGATGGACGATTGGTTGCTACTGTGCCATTGGGTTCGCCATGCCATGATCCAAGCTTCAATGCTGAAGAGTGCGCGCACTTGCAAAGTGAGTGGCACTATTCGTCGATTCAGTAAGTCCTCTATCCTGTCCTGGCCCTATGATAATCGTCTAAACGATGATGTCTTCCAAATGAACTGGTTGCTAATTACCCATAGTTCCAAGTCGTCTTCTTCCGTGATGGCCACTCTATTTGCCAACCAGAGCTGTGATCCCTTCCAGCCGAGAGAAAAGCCCTGTACGTTGGGCAATTATGTCCGCTACACCGTGAATGCCACATCTGCAGAGCACGTTGCAGCTGCTATGGAGTTCGCTCAGGAGAAACAACTGCGCTTCGTGATTAGAAACACTGGCCATGATTATCTTGGCCGTTCAATGGGGGCTGGGTCGCTAGCTGTGTGGACTCACTACCTCAAGGGCACTGAAGTAGTTGACTGGGATGACGATGAGTACAAAGGCAAAGCTCTGAAAGTTGGAGCTGGTGTTCAGGGTTTTGAGGCACTTGCAGCTGCTCATGCTGAGGATCTCGTCGTTGTCACTGGCGAGTGCCCTTCCGTCGGTCTCGCGGGAGGATATACCCAAGGAGGCGGCCACTCAGCACTGAGCACCAAATTTGGCCTTGCAGCAGACAATACGCTCGAGTTCGAAGTTGTGACTGCCAACGGAAAGCTTGTTAAGGCGAATCGAAGGCACAATAGGGACCTGTACTGGGCTTTGAGCGGTGGCGGATCTGGCAACTATGGTGTTGTCATCTCAGCTACCGTCAGAGCTCATCCGGAGGCCAAAGTCAGTGGTGCCAAGTTTCTTGTCACAGCACCTGAAGGAAGGCCAGAGCTGATATACGACGCTATCGACGCTTATCACGCTGCACTTCCAAAGATTGTTGACTCTGGTGTCATGATCATCTATTTCTTCTCCGACTCGTTTCTACAAATCCCTGCTATCACCGCTTACAACAAGACTGAGGCAGAGGTCAAGAAGATCCTCCAACCTTTTGCTGATTCGTTGGCTGGTCTTGGTCTCAAGTTCGAACCAACGTTTACTCAATATTCAAGCTACTACGAGCATTACGACCACTACTGGGGCCCTCTTCCTGCAGGTAACATTCAAGTCGGTACGCAGCTCTTCGGAGGACGTTTGCTACCTCGGGATAAACTCAAAGACTTTTCGCCAACTGCGCGCAAGCTCGCCGAGATGGGAGTTATATACATTGGCGTTGGACTTAACGTATCCAAGTTTGGGAGCAAGAATGCCAACGCGGTGTTACCTCAGTGGCGAAGCTCTATAGTCCAGGTATCGCTCACCCTTCCTTGGGACAACGAAACACCTTGGGAAGAGATGTTGGCAGCTCAGAGAAGAATCACGGATGAGATTCAGCCTGTGATCGAGGCTGCAACACCAGGTGGTGGAGCCTATATCAACGAGGCAGACTTCCAGCAACTAAACTGGCAAGAGACTTTCTATGGTGCGAACTATGACAAGCTACTGAAGATCAAAAAGAAGTACGATCCAGAGGGCTTTTTCTACGCTACTGTGGCTGTTGGTAGTGAGGCTTGGACTGTTGCTGGTGATGGACGCATGTGCAGGGTGAACGCCTGATCACTGATGAATGTCAGTGATTGCTTTTGTGTTTTTCCCAGTTACAGCAAACGTCGAAGATCTTGGTCACGATCGCAATAGGTATCAAATACAAACACAAAAACTAACATATCACTTCAAGGTGATTTCATATCCAAGTCACATGGTTATCTCAGCATTGATCCTCAGTTCATGCATGTGTAATTATGTATTAAGAAATCTTTGATGTACAGCGGCGCGACATGGGTCTATCATGGTATCTATGTGACTGTAACCTCGGTGGTTTTTCTAATAACAAGACCTTCAACATCCATATCTTCTAATTCAACCTCCGAAACTCCTGAGCGGGTAGATCCGCCAGGTGGAACAATCTGTTCTTGAGAATTATTCCGATCTAGTGCGTTTTCATTGCCATACATTTTGGACGCGTAATTGGTTCTTGTGGTGTAACATCTGGTTTGAGTATTCAGGCCGTAGCGGTTAGAGGCTCCAGCCTGATCGCTGTGGGTATATATTGACCGATCTTCGTTAAATCGGAGCTTGGAAGCTAGTGTATCAAAGCTAGAGTGAAAGGCAATTGATTAGCTTAGAAGCTATAGTATCGACGATGTACTTACTATAGAACGATAGGGTAGAGACAGAAGAGAGCGTATAGGAATCGATCGAGCTGACTGGCAATGTTGACTGCCTTTTGTCCAGGTGTTTGGAATGGATGAATAATGGTTCTCGTAACTCCGATAAGGGCCAAGAAAGCCACGCGCATTTCAGTGCTGCGAGTGAGATATCGCAGAAGACCGACTTTGAGGGCAGCACTCATACTAGACGACGTTGCGGAGGCGAAGATAACAACAAGGAAATATGCGCTGAGGCATTCAGAAATGGCCATGAAGCTGAAGTAGCCGATGTGGAAGTAGTTGATGATAACTTCATACTCAGGTTCGCCCTCGATAAGAAATTTTGCTCGGTAGATTGCAATAAAAACGCGAGTAATTGCCGTGCAGACCATCAGTGCCCAAAAAATGGTGGAGAAGACGTGCCATTGGTTCGGCCGAAGAACTCGTTGAAGAATGATATAACTATAGAGCAGCAGGCTTGCTTCTTGCAACTAAATATTCCAGTCAGTCAGGGTGTAAGACCACACCAGATAAGAGGTTCTCGTACCAGCCAAAAGAAGTCTGAAAAGACAGCCGCTACCACTTCGTTGATGACGGGGTTCTTGAGGTAGTAGACATAGTAGCAAAGACCGTTCGCAATAGCCCCAGCCGCCGATGAAAAGATTGGCACGGCAGCTAGGACAGTGAATGTAGTGATTTCGCAGACCAGGACACCAAAAACAACATTGACGAGACAGATGGTGCTGAAGATGGACCAGCACACCTCGAAGTAATCCATGGCTAGTCAACAAGAATGACAGTCAGTGCTGCCAAGTCGAGATCTGTTGACTCGAGATTATTCGGATAGAGGACAAATGAGATGCGAAGGAGGGGAGAAAACCTGGGGGATCGACCTCGATACCACCGCTGATCTTATGTGCCGGCAATCTGGAAACCCAGTGTAACGGATGCAGCTAGACGACAGCGTGATAGATGGCGTTTCTGCCAAGGCTGCCCCAGGCCTAGCCCAGAAATTTAGGGGTGGGACCCGCTCTGACGGGGGCTGACACGCGCTGGTTCCTCCACTAGTCACCCAAGGACAGGGGCCAGGGATCAGGTCCAGGCTATTTGCCGGGGAAGACATTGTCTCGTCCCTAGTAAAATCAGCTGCTTGGTATGTGTGTCACAGTCTCGACCGTGTTTGTTATAGTTATTGAGTGTTATCAGCAATGATCTGTTGTTGACATGACCTAGACTGCATCATTTGTTCCGAACAATACTTCTTAATTTAACCCATGACACAAAGACGCAAAGATTCGTGACTGTTACTCCATCGTTACCTAATCGCGCTGATCTCCCCCGACCAAGCGGAATCCTGCAAGCGATGGCTGTCACATCTTTTTGGCTCGTCAATAAAGTTTGTGCTAGACTCGTCCCCTGGCATGGATTCTTTCTAGACTAAGTCCCAAAGGGCAGCTAACTCCACAGAACTATTTTCGCTCCGCCAACAGGATTTCAATGGCGTTGTTCTCCTGTGGCGGAACATGGTGACGAATGACTCAGTTGTCCACGTATGGCGGGCGTAGTTAGAATGGCGTTCCTTTGCGGATGCGCGAAGCGGTTGGCTGTGCCGCTGTGGTTTGGTTTTCAGCTTTCATTAGCAGATGGGCCCCGGGGCAATGGATTAGTAGTCAATAGATGAGAGCCGGGGTATGACAGTGGCTTGTAAAATGTCACTGTTGACTTCAATTTTTCAATCGATGGCTAATGGTTTCCACAGCATGAAGTCAGTGCAGAGACTTTTACAAAATTCTCATCTCTTTCTAGTGGGACTTTTTGTGGTGAACGCTCAATCACTGTTCGGAATCCCCCGGGTTGTTCATCATGTTATCCACAGCTATTGAGGTACATTTCTTTACGACAGATGTGTTGGTCGATGACTGCAGGATTCGGGTTAATTGTGCAAACGTGAAGCATGTCGTAAAAGCCTGTCGTAATGTTGATCATGACCGTTATCCTACCGTCTGCAGGTGACGTCGGCATAACCCGAGCACTAACCCCCCTGACTGACAAGTATAAGGCTTTGAACGGAATTGGTTCAAGGCTGAGCCTGACGAGATCGGGCAACTCGTGTCACTGACCGTGCGCCGATAAAGGAAACACACGGGCATCGAGTCTTTGGAATGGGGCCATTTATACGCTCGGTTCCATGGAAGCGATTCACTAATGAATTATCCATGGAAATAACCAGTTGGTCCCCTGGTCCGCTGGTCCCCTAGTCTCCTGCTCCTCATGATCTGGTCCTAGTGCACCCCACCTCCGCAAAAGCTGTTCCGGCAGCACTAAGACTGTCCATGACTCGGCAAATGCGCAGCCGACGTTGAATTGACGTAAACCAGATTAAGGAGCAAGGAGCTAGGACGGGACCCCTAAACGCCGATAAGCTAGGAAATGAAAGCCAAGTTCAAAATGTGACTGTGGATAGCATTGGATGTTGTCCACGGCAGGTGCTGAGAGGTGCATCGATACGACCGTGGATTTGTACCCTGGACGGTGATTTCTCCTGGTATGAAACCCAGGGCGTCGGTTCGATCACTTGAACTACCTACGTGATCAGCGATCGATACGGCGCCCACGTCTTAGCTAGTGAAAGGAAGAACACGATGCAGGCTTGCGTCAGTCGTCGGGTCCAACATATAAATATCACTTTGATGTACAAATTTCATGAACAACCCATGAGCTCGGTCATCATGCAAATTTTCTGATTGATGGAAAATGCATGCAAGAATGTGTTCTAGTGATATTCCATGACTCGAATGTGGAAAAGCCACATTTGACAGATGACAGCTTCAACGCCACGGGCGGAAATTACCAGTAATCCATCTCACGAGTGTTGGCTTCTCCCCCATCAAACCAGCTTGCTAAATTGCCGAGGCCTTGATAAAGAGGAAAAAGATCTCGGTAAAACATCGCAAGAAAGCAGCTTGGCGCAGTGGAAGCGCGGTATGTCGATTCGAAACCCTCTCGTCTAAAATACACACTAACGATTTCCATAGCCGGGCTCATAACCCGGAGGTCATCAGATCGAAACTGATAGCTGCTAGCAATCAATCTTTTTGCATTTTCCTAAAATCATAGCTTCAGTCTCTTTGCAAAATCTCGTATGCGCACCAGTGCTCGCTGTCAAGAAAACTATTCAATTGTGAAAAGAGTAGGTGTGCCGGGGAGGGCTGAGTGCGACATCTCATGGTGTTTTAGGTTTGTGGGAATTGTTCTTTTGTGTGTCTAGGGTAAGTGCGGCAAAATAGCTTCACGCATTCTTCCCACAGGTTGAATGCAAAAGGGCAATGAACAGTAGAGGGTATATGTGTAAAAGGCGGTCATTTTAAAATACAGATGTCATAACAAGCTTGATTGGTGGCGGTGCGTTATTGATTAAGGAGAAACAGTATGTTGCAAGTTTGGCTTCTGAGGGTTGATCGTATACCAAAACATTGATTTGCATAAAATGTCATCAACCAGAATCAATATATATGCTTTGTGCTCGGCTCTCACCCATCGCACCAATAGCTGTTCCTCCGTTTCGGAGATCTCCCCGAATAGCTCAGCTGGAAGAGCGTTCGACTGTAATTGTTATATGTCATCGAAAGGTCACTTGTTCGATCCAGGTTTCGGGGATTACTTTTTGTCCCTTGGCAAGTCCAAAAAAAAGAGGGTGCCTGATAATTATTGGAGTAAAGTCCTATTGGGAGATTATCCACTTTTTATAATCTGGCCCCAAGCCATAACCTGGTCTTCCTAGCTAACTTGGACCTCTTATTCCTGGCTACATGCTTCCACTACTATACTATATTACAGTAGTATTAATTAATGTTTCTTATTTTTGAAATTTCTTAGTGAATAAGAATAGCTTCAGCTCGGAGAACTAAGTTGTAATCTCTTGGATCATTATTAGCTAGCTTCAAGTTTTCACATTTTACTCAATCGTCTTAATCCCAATACTCTCGGAGTGTAAAATAGTCTCAAACACAGAAATGCAGTGTCAAAGATTAGATAGCAATTTTATCCTTGGCGTTTGAATCTACTTTTCTGTTACCAGGTTCCAGCACCCACCTTAACTATCGATTTTACTGAACTTCAGCTTCTACTGTAGTAGACCAAGCGCATGCTTATATACACGTGCCAATTAAACTTCGTGGTGTGGTCTCATTTGGTAAGATACGCGGCCGAACCCAACAGGAAAGACCACAACTGGCTGCGACGGCATACTTACATCTCAAAAGCCCGACCTTTTCCTCCCACAAAGAATAAAAGTTCAGACTAAGTGCATACTGCGAATTTTGTACTATAGTCCTGATGCGCTTTCACTGTCACGCTGCTTTTCTGTCCAACTCTGTTAGACTGTCGCCTCATTTCTCACACCAGCAGCACTTCATCTTATTATAGTCTCACTTCGGCAAGATTAAGTAAATGAGTATCGCTCATCAAGACCAGAGTGTATATATGAGAGAAAAAGCAGAGACCAAGGAGATGGATCTTTGTTCGACATTGGGCCAAGCTAATAATAAAGGTCAGTATGTCTTCGGCAGTCGGACCTACTTACTGTCATCACGAGCTCTGGGCATCTTCGAGTATCACTAATGATTGATTGCTAGTTCACGAGCCCAATAGACGCTTGGCAGCTCGGAAAGGTGGCCCCGAGTGGCAAAGTCAGAATCTTTGTTCACCATGCCAATCCATTAATCTTAAGCAGATATGTTCGAAGGGTAGTCTATACGGAACTGACTTCTCGCTGTGTATCTCTGAAACTTCAACATGCCCTTTTTGTCGTTTACTCGCCTTAAATTTCCGACGCAGAGATGTCGGATCAGAGGGTTCGGTAACAGTAGGACTTAGCCGCCACGTTATTAGCGGAATCGATCACGTTTGTATACAGCACGACCAGCAATTCGAATACATCTTACAGATGACCGATGGGGAGTTGCTTATGGAACCAGACAGGATTGGGCAGTATCGACAAATAGATCCCAGTCACATTGATTATCATATGATTAAGAAGTGGATCGCCCATTTTCGCAGCACTCATGAGAAACCCTGTCAAATGCTTACAGCGAAGCCGCTCAGGATATCAAAATTCAGGCTACTGGATTGCAAAACCGAGACTGTGGTAGAATGTACAGAGCTTGCTGAATATGTTGCACTGAGCTATGTGTGGGGTTCCTCATCTAATGTCGAAGACAAGCATCAGGACCTACTGTCCAACGCCGTGATTAAGGACGCCATGCGTGTTACACTCCAACTAGGATTTCGATATATATGGGTTGATCAACTTTGCGTTGATCAAAGAGAAACAGAAGACATGAGCTGTCAGTTAGGTCAAATGAACACTATCTGTTTGTCTTCAACAGGATCAGAGATATAAGGCCTGGGCAACGAGCGAACATACTTTTAGATAACCAAGCAAGTGTCACTATAGTAGCTGCCGCAGGAGAAAGTTTGTCGTATGGTTTGCCTGGTGTTGGGCAGCGCTCTCGCAAGATTCAAAACAAGTTCACCCTGAACGGTACGACATGGACATTCCGCCCCAGACTGACTAAACACCACGTGGGTGACTCAAAATGGTCGACCAGGGGCTGGATATACCAGGAAGCAGTGTTCTCTCGCAGGGGTGTCATCTTTACTGATGACCAAGTCTACTTCTAATGTGGATGCATGATGTGTGCAGAGGAATTGATAAAAGATTTTGCTTACTGCGACCGTTTATTTCCCATCTTTGAACGCATGGCGGAAGAAGACTCAGAATCAGGAAAGTATGGACCAAGGACCTGGAGGTCCATGGGAGACTTGGAAGCATATTCTAAGCGTGAACTTACTTACGACTCTGATCTTTTGAGAGCAATGGAAGGCGTTTTTAGCTTCTACACCCAGCTGGAACTATCAGTGGAACAATACTGGGGTCTGCCACCACGATGGGTCGGCTGTCAAAATTCAGTCGACGATTACCATACTGCAAGATTGAAGCATGATGATGTCGTGAGTGCTCTTCTCTGGACGATGCTATGGGGGCCAGCGTGGACCGAAGCCCAAAACATAAAGACTGGCTTGGCCAAGAGGAGCGGCTTTCCAACGTGGTCCTGGTCTGGCTGGAAAGTCCAAGTGAGATGGAGACGCCCGAAGAACGTCAAGTACCTGAAAAAGAGCTTCACGGCGCCACTGTTTGTGGAAACAATAACAAGTGGGCTTATAGAACCCAACGGGGAATTTGCCCGGTCGCTCGCTTCGGGCCAATTCCACGCGGTTTTGGGTTTAACTTACATCTTGAGAATCACGACCAAGGTTTTCGATGTCCCATTCATAGAATGCGCGGCCTACAGACCCACGCCCACCTCGAGGATGACCGGCTCGTTTCCCACCAGACGAAATGGTCAACACTAGGTCACAAAGGATGAATGCCCCCATGAAGGCGACTGGACTCATTTTGTTATTCAAAAGAACATCGGGGCGTCTGGGAGAGGGCTAGTCTGGTATTTGAATTTTACGTATGGCAGAGCGACCAGCAGTTCCGGCCTTGCATTCGATGCTGACAATATCAACCTCAGTCCTATGACACTCCGATGCATAGTCATAAGCTACGATCACGGCATGATCGTGCAGTCTAGCAATGGCATCTCCAAACGAGTCGGGTTGTTGCGCTTCGAAGGGGAGTTCTTCAAGAATGGTCGATTAAGATGCGACGAATACGGATAGAACGAGGATAACGTGTCATGTCCATGGACCGAATCGGTACAGAGTAGGGACCTTAGAGTCCACTTTCAAAGAGTTGTCCAGACTGTACGTTTAGTATAAGAGAGAATTACTGACGTTCCCCATTCCTGCATCCCAAAAAAGGGAGCGAAGTTACATTAGGAGAGGCGGCAGAAAGGTTGGGTTCTATCCCTTAGCACCATCTGGTAACAGCCATAACGTCAAGAGGGGACAAAGAAACCAAACCTGGTTCATTGCCATTTTGGATGGTGAGGTGATCCCCGTTGAAGGCTAAAAGACTCCTCCCTCAACCAGCTTTACACACAACAGTCCTTTCCATGGGGCAAGCAAGGTAGACTACCTTCGACACAAGGATACTTCGCACATAGGGATCATGAGTGGGCAAGGAATCTGTAAGACCGTGAATAAATCAACCTGTGACATCTCTAATTCATAACAAGGGAATCACTTAGCAGCTTTAATGACTGGTTTTTATATGATTGTGTATCAGAGAATAAATATTATTTATCAATAAAGAAGTAGATGTAAGTAAGAAAGTAATAGATGATTATGTACAAGAAGACAAAGCATAGTTGCGATGCATTCATGCAATTGGAGTAGCCTTGATAGGGTTGCAGATTTTGTTAATAAGGTTGCTGTTACACTCAGGGCCGTCATTATGGTCAATGAAAAACGCCTCGAGGTCGAAGTAACAAACAGGGATACTGTTAAAACCCAAGTTATCCACCTGGAGTGCTTTGTCGGCACTGAGAGCGCAGTCGAGGACTGCATGGTAGTACGGATCACGGTTTCCAAGGTTGTACTTGGCCATGTTCGTATAGACATCCTCTTCGGCCTCGGTCCAAGATTCGCCGTAGTTGCCACCGAAGGGCTTGTAGCGCATGACGTAGAAGCAGTAATCCTCGCCATCTCTGAGAGACATCCACTGGCGGCCAGTAGCAGTGCCGCAGTCCTCTTGGCTGTGGATCCTCTTGTCAGCTATAAGGCGGAGATTGGCAGCTTTCATGACGTTGTTTGCGATCTTGGGCTTGATGTTCTCGGTGATAGACTTAATTGCGTTGTCAACGGCAAGGCTGTCGTCGTTGAGGAGGAACCATCCTGTGCTGAAGAACTTGGCAACTGGTGACTTGTACCAGTCGTCATGAGGCTTCGGGTTGGGCAGAGCTTTGAAGTCTTCGATGTTGGTGGCGCCGCCTACAGCAAGATTGAGAGTCACGTCGAGTTGGCTGGCCGTGGCTACGAATAGGCTGACCAAGGCACCAGAGATAGTGGACGTGTCGATGGCCTCTGGCTCAGTCTTGTCTGCCACGGCAGTAAAGATGCCACCCAAGATACCAG